GGCAGGGCTGGGAGGGACCTTAGAACATGGAAGGTCAGAGTGGGGAGGGGCCTGAGAACAGGCGATGGCAGCACTGGGAGCAGCTTCTCTGGGTCTGGCCACTCGTCTCTTGGCCTCAGCCCCTGCTTCCTGCCCCATGTCCCTGCCTGTCACGCGGGGGCCACAGCCTGGCCCCGAGCACAGGCAGCTGGCTCAAAGGTCTCACCCGGTTGTCATAGACTTTCTTGAGCGCCTCGTATCGGATGGAGCCTTGGAAGATGACGCCCTGGAAGGTGTTGACCTTGTCGCTGGCCACCAGCTCCACGCAGACCATCTCGCCTTCGCCCACGGCCATGTCACAGAAGACCTGGAGAGCAGCAAGGCAGTGGGGGTCAGAGCCCAGCCCCCGCCAGGGCCCCATAGTGTCAGGGTCTCAGGTTCTGGGCCTGGAGGAGAGGCCAGTCGCCCCTCATGACGGCCACCAAAGGTGTGATGCCCCTGTGCCCACACACACGCCCCCACCGGCACGGGGTCGATGTACTCCCCGCTTGTGGTCGGGCAAACTGAGACCTGCCCAGGGTCTGCCAGGCCTGGGACCGTGACGGGGAAATGGGTCCCAGAGCCAGCAGGGAGCCCCTCTCTGTAGCGAGGAGGAAACCCAGGCCCACAGAGGGGGAGAGAGAGCCGGCGTTCACCGCCAACGCCAGCTCTGTTCTCCGTGTGGCTCCTAGCCTGTGCATTCACTGAGCGCCGTCTGTAGGCGCAGCATCGAGGAAGGCCAAGTTTCAGTCATGTTCCCAGCGGGGCCAAAGAACCCTGCCTCAGTCTCCCCAGCAGGCCACTCACCTCCTCAAAGTTGTCAATCATGAAGAAAATGTTGGGGTAGCTGATCTTGGACTCCTCGCCCTTGCTGTCCATCGGGTGCTTGCTGGGAGACGCAAACACTTGCTGGAAGAGATTGGCAACCAGGTGAGTGAGTGGGGAGGCCCCAACAGCCCACCCCCCAGAGCCCACCTGGTCTGGGCCCCCCCCAGAGGGCAGGGAGGCTAGAGGCTGAAAAGCTGGCAAATGGGCGGGGGGGCCGGCACGTGCAGGGACTATCTGTGTGGAGGATGGGAGAGGAGAGGAGAAAGAGGAGGGGAGGGGGAGGGTTGGGGAGGGGGAGGGGGAGGGGGCAGCAGGGCCCGCCCCCCCCCCCCCTGCCAGGCGGGGTCCTGGAGCTATCCCATTCCAGGTCACTATTAGCCAGCCTACACCTGCACAGGCTTTAGCGACTTTCGCTTAGGACGACACAGGGACCCTGCTTCCCTGAACGCCAAACAAATGGCTTTTTCAGTATCGGTGGGTTTGGATTATCCGGGTCGGCATGCCAAAGGGGGTGACCACCTGCGGTCAGTCTTGGGCAGCCCAGGGGCCCCACGCTCCTCTGGGATGACCCTCAGGCCACAGGCGTTCCTGGGCAGGGACCTCACCTGGGATTTCTTCTTGTGGATGTGAATGTCGCCTCCATCCAAGCGTGTGCAGACAGCGCATGTCACCATGTAGTCAAGCTGGAAGAGTCCAGCATGGGCCTCAAGGCCTGCCCTGGCTGCTCTGGGGCAGGGGATCCTCCCTATCCCTCCTCCAGGAAGCCCACCCTGATGTCCTGTGCACCCCCCAGGCCTAGTCACACTCATGGCGGCTGACTTCTGTATGAAGCAGCCTCCCGGGGGGCCAGGAGTAGTCCAGCCCCCCGTGAGAGCTGCTCAGCACCCCACAGGCATGAGGGCACACATGTGTACACATCTGTACACACGCACACACATACACATGTGCACACACATGTGCAAACACACACGCATGCACACACATACACACATGCACACACACACACGCACATACACATGCTCAAACCTTTTGTAGGATGAGGTTTAGGCAGACACTCTCCTCCCAGTCAATGTCGGGGTCCCCGAGGCCAGGCAGCTTCTTGGAGTCCCGCCGGTAAACCTCCACATCTACCTGCTGGGGGGAAGCCGGAGGTCTGTGAGCCCCCTGAGCCCATCCCCCTCCCATCCCGGGAGCCCCATCTACACTTCCCGGCCAATCTCCCCCAACAGTCAGCCTCCATTCTGTGGGCTCAACCCAAATGGAGATGTTCCCTAAAGGTTCCCCTGGAGGGAGAAAGCTCCACAGCCTTGCGGAGGGCCCCTGGGCTTGGCTGCACACACACACACACACACACACACACACACACACACACACACATACACACACACACGCCATGTGCCCCGCTAACATGGATCTCCCATCTCTGCCTCTCTGGGTCTACCCCGGCAGCCCTGGGCACAGTGCCAGGCACACAGGAGGCACTCGATACACGCTCCTTGACTAACGAGACCTTTGGGGAGCCCCAAGCCCCCACCCCCAACAGTGGGGATCCAGTCTGAGCTGAAGAGAAGGAAGCAGGAGGGTAGGGAGACCACAGCCAGGGACTCCTGCTGGGCAGGTGCCCCAAATGCCTATAAAACTGAGGGTGCTCAGGCTGCCCCGTGACCCATGGGCACGGCCAAGGTCACCTGGCTAGTCAGGCCACAATGCCGGTCTGCCAAGGCACCGGCCAGGCAACCCTGTTAAAAGGGAGTGGTCATGCGGCTAATTATAATGTCCCAGCTTGGCCCCACAAGAAAGGCTCCTGTCCTCTCTGCTTAGCAGGGTGGGGGGCTCTGGGGGTGGGACGCTGCACGCAGGGCCCAGTGGTTCGTTTGTTCTTTTCTCTCCGTTTTATTTTTTTATTCTTCATTGTAAGACATTGGGGGGTGGGGGGGAGAAATAATTTCAAATAAAGGCAATGTTTCAGACAAAATGTTCAATACAACTTTTTAAAAAAAGAGTTTAAGTCCTTGATCTTGTCCTCAGTCCTGAATACTCCATCCCCCGCCCCCCATTTCCATGCAGTAGCCCAGCAGCCAGCAGGGGTCAGCACCGGCCACTCTGGTGCCTCACCGGCTGCCTTTGTAACCTCAGCCCCCAGCACGGAACCTGGAACATCCAGGAGGGGCCCCAGCAATGCTCAGGGAAGGAAAGAAAGGAAGGAAGGAAGGAAGGAAGGGACGGAGGAAGGGAGGGAGGGAAGGAGGGAGGGAGGAAGGAAGGAGAGAGGGAAGGAGGAAGGAAGGAGAGAGGGAAGGAAGAAGGAAGAAAGGGAAGGAGGGAGGAAGAAAGGAGAGAGGGAGGGTGGGAGGGAGGGAAGAAGGAAGGGAGGGAGGAGGGAGGGAGGAGAGAGGGAGGAAAGAGGGGGGGAGGGAAGGAGGAAGGCATCCACTCAGTGGCCCAAGGACAGCATCCTCCCAGACCCCAGGATGCTTGGGGGACAGGAGAGGAAGTCAAGGAGGAAGCCCCAGCAGGGCCAAATCTGCAGAGGGGAGAAGGCCGCAAAGTCGGAGCCTGGAGCTCCGTTAGCCTGGCAGCACCTTGAGGGCAGGGACTGAGGGAGTGAGTCCAATCTCATTTTGCAGGAACGGAAACTGAGGCCTCAGCAGGAGACCTGACCTGCCCAGGCTCCTCCAGTTAAGAAGAGGCAAAGCTACGAATGAAGATGGTGTGCTGAGCTAAGGGGCCTCAGTTTTTCTCAGGGAAGGACCACATGGTGATTCTCATTTTATAGATGAAGACGCTGAGGCCCAGAGTGGCCACAAGCAGACCCCAGGGAGGGCTGCATGGGAGGAGAGGGCATTGCTCTCTACCAGGGTTTTGTTTTCATTTTGGAGATGCAGCTTTTATTTGGGGGATCAGAAGTCTTGGGTTCAAATCCTATATCTGACTCTTTAATTCAAATCACCAAGCATCCACTAGGTAGGTGCATGCTGTATGCCAGAAAAAAGAAAACAGCCCTGCCCTCAGGAGGCTTCCATTCTACTTATCCGCAGCTAAGTCTCTACATAGTGATTTCATGAGGGCCGCCGCCCAAAGCTGGGGGAACCAAGAAAGGAGGAGGCAACATGGAGTGAGGAAGTCACGGGCGGGTCCTGGGCTCAGGATAGTCCCACGGGGTGCTGGGGGTACGAAGCCAGGGAGAGGCGAGGCAGGGAGGCCGCTGCGGCGGGGGCTGTGGGTATCTTCTGGGATGATACTGTGGCTACAGAGACGCAGTGGAGAAAGGACTGGCAAGGCCAGGCGGCTGGCTGGCACAGGGCCCTGAAGGGAGAGAGGGAAAAGCGGACCTGGGGAGCCCCCCGGGCCGTCCGGAGAAGGGGCCGGTTTGGGGACAGAGGCCACGCTCCATTTCAGATGCAGATTGGAGGCGTCGAAAAGAGGCACCAGTTGTGCAAAGAGACCAGGCCTCCCCCAGCTGCCTAGTTGGCCGAGTGACTATCCCTTCTCTGAGCCTCAGTTTCCCCCTCTGTAGAAGGCGGTCCCTTCCAGCTCTCACACTGGTGGGCTTCTGCTCGACAGGGCTGGGACACAGCGATGGCGGCGGACGAGAGGCCGCCCGGGAGCAGCCCTGACGCCCGACTCCCAGGAAAGGGCCCCGCGCAGCCACTCACCTTCTTCCCGTCGTCGCTGGGGCTGTCGGTGCTCCCTGCGTAGGACAGCTTCCGGCGCACATAGAACAGCATGTCGTCCTGCCTCGGGGCCCACTTCTCCATGAAGTATGTGGAAAACATACGGGTCCAGAAGACGATGCGGTCGTCTTTGAAACACCCTGGGGAGGAAGCCGGGGAGGCCGGTGAGGAGGCCGCGACCTGTGGCCACGTGCAGAGCCCAGGGAGAGACAGGACGGCAGAGAGACACAGCACACCTGGGACTCTGGGACACCTGGGGAAGCCCCTGCCCCACTCTGGGCCATGGTCACCACCTCTGAAATCAGAGGGGTGGCTAGAATCAAGGCACCCTCAGACGACGTGGGAGGCCTCTCGTAGGCGTCTCTGACAGGCACAGGCTTTGGGGTCAGGAAGGCATGGGTTCGAGTCATACTTGTGTCCTGGCTGTGTGGCCTTGGGCAAGTCATTGAACTCCTTGTTCTCTAAGGCTGCAAGATCCCCACCAAGAGATTCCACTCTGGGAGTTTGCTGTAGGGGAGCGTGGAGGTGAGGAAGGGGCGTGCAGGATATGGGTACAGAGAAAGGCAAGAGATTGAGGGCAGGAAGTGGGGCGCAGGCAGGAGGAGGCTCAGGGAAAGAAAAGGAAAGAGGGGAAAGAAGACCCTTCCCTGAGAGCCCCGCAGCGCTTCTGAAGGGTGGCTCTCGCAGGTTTGGGGTTCGAAATCTCTTCCACCACCAGGCCAAGTGAGCAGAGTACTTGGAGAGAAGGCTGGGGGTGGAGGCTCTGAGTGGGAAGGGCAGAGCTGAGCCTACCCCCCAATCAGGAACCAGAGGGGCCTGCTCCGCAGTGGTGACCTTTCCCAACTGACCCACATCCCAAGGACTGACACAAACAGGAAGGACGAAGAAAACCCTAGTGAATCCGGTCAAACTGGATCAGAGCCAAGGCAATATGTATTTTTCTGAATCTGCTACCTGTTCACCAACCCCAGTCGGGTGTTTCTGGGGCAGAAAATGATCTTCCCTTTGGCTAAGCTCCCCACTGCCACACATGAGCTCACAACAGCCTCGCAAGCACTCTATGAGGAAAGGAACATTTTACAGATGAGGAAAGTGAGGTGCGGAGGGGCTAGTGAACAGACTGGCCTCATCCCTTGTGAGTATGCGTGGATAAGAGTTCATTTGAAAAAAGATCTAGAGGTCTCAGTGGACTACAAGTTCAATGACTCAGCAGCAACCTAAAACAGCCAAAACAGCAAATGTGATCTCAGGCTACCTTAAAAGCGGCATCTTTTAAGGATCTGGGGCTGTGGAGCCTGGAGAAGACCATGGCTCATGAGGGGAGGCCGGACCATTGTCTCCACCTAACCTGAAGGGCTGTCAGTCGGAAGAGAGGTTAGATTTCTTCTGCTTGGGCCCAGAGGGCTGGCCTCAACATGAGGGATGGACACGGCAGAGGCAGACTTAGGCAGAATCTCTGGACAGAGAAGAGCAGGCGGCCTCTCTGGTCCTCGAGGGGAGGCTGGGAGGCTCCAGGCTTCCCTCCCCACCTCCCGGCTGCCTCCGGCCTCCACAAGCCCCTGGGCTCATTCCTGCCATCCCTTCTCCCTGCCCACCCCCTCCCTGGCAGCGTCGGGCAGGAAGACCCTCCCTCCCAAAGGGCCTGGACGGGAGCTGCTTGTAAAGTCACATCTCTGGGTGTTGACTCCACGTCCTCAGTTACAGGGGCCCTGGGTGTGTTCCCCACTCCAGGAAGGGCCTGAGCAGAGGAGAATGTGCCCCCCGTGGGCCCTGGGGCCTCAGAGCCTAGCCCAGTGCCTGGCACCCAGAGGCCCTTCCTCCTAAGTGCTGGCGGATCCATCTCTGGGACAGAATGCGAGGGGATCGAGGGGCCCCCAAACAAAAATGGGGGCAAAGGATCTCGCAGACCTGCTCAGGGGCCTTGTTCTCCTGTAGACTCCCCCACAGAGATGCAGGCCCACGACTGACTGAGGGGGAGGGTCTGCCAGGGCAGGGGGGGACGACTTGGCATCACGGGTGGGGCATAGTCACAAAGCAAGAGACCACCACAGACCCCTCTTGTTCCACCATCTGAGCAGGGGTCTGGGACAGGTGCTTAGGGGACATAATAGAGGGATTCCCATTCAGGTCTGGATTAGACCAGACCAGGTCAGAGCTGGCCCACCCTCCAGCCCTGACATCCCCTGTTCTCAGTCTTCTCCCACCTCTGATGTCCCCTCTTCTCAGGCCCCTCCCATTTCTGACTTCCCCTGTTCTCAGTCTTCTCCCACCTCTGGTGTCCCCTCTTCTCAGGCCCCTCCCAGCCCTGACATCCCCTGTGCTCAGGTCCCTCCTAGCCCTGACATCCCCTGTTCTCAGGCCCCTCCCAGCTCTGATATCCCCTGTTCTAAGGCCCCTCTGTTCTCAGGCCCCTTCCAGCTCTGACATCCCCTGTTCTAAGGCCCCTCTATTCTCAGGCCCCTCCCAGCTCTGACATCCCCTGTTCTCAGGCCCCTCCCAGCTCTGACATCCCCTGTTCTCAGGCCCCTCCCAGTCCTGATAGTCTCTGATTTCTCCCCCAAACAGGCCCAAGCATCTCTGCATGTTAGGAGCCAGATGCTCCCTGCCCACTTAGGGGGATCTTAGCTGAAGAAGAGGCCAAGGGTCTACAGCTAGGCCTGAAAGGGGGCCAAGGGGCTCCTGTCCACCTCTCATCTTACAAAGGAGAAGACGGAGGCTCAGGGTGGGAAGGGCCCTGCCTGGGGTCCCACAGGAAGTTGGACTCCTTTCCTTATAGGGTTGGCTGCTTCTGCATTTTCGTACCCCCCGAGAACCCTGAGTTCATTCTTCAGTGGATCAGGGATGCCCAGGTCCAGTCCTCAGCACCCACGCAGACACAGCCTGCACGTCAGCTCTCTGGGAATTTTGACCCCTGGCTCTCCATGAACCATCCACCCAGGATCTCTGCTCTACAGGTTCTCTTCGTGTCCCATGGGGAGCAGGAGGGCACCCTGGCTGGCCACCAGTTACCCTTCTCCTAGCTCACCTTTCTTTTCTGGTCTACGTGCCTGTGACTTGGACAACAGCCGCATTTGGCAGCTCCTATCCATGAGCCCTCCACTTCCCTTCAGGATGCTCCCTCCTGAAGCTAAGGATGCCAGCCACACGGCATCTCCACGAGACGGTGCCGGAGAAACACTAGTGGCCAGGGAAGGCGGCACCTTGGGGCGCCTGGAAGCCCAGCTCCCTTTCCCCAGCCTCTTCTCTGCCTGCTCCTAGTTCTGGTGGGGCTGGAGCGACGTGCACTTTGCCGTCCACCCTCGGTTCCAGAACCTGGTTTTTCCTGGCAGGGCTGACCTTGCCTCTGTCTCTCCCAATAGAAGAGAAGCTCTTGGAGGGTGAGGATTGCTTCCCTGGGGTCTCTGCAGCCCTGGTGCCTCGCACAGTGCCTGGCGTAGTCCACACTTGCCGACCATCTGTCCTAAGGCCAGGACGGTAAGACCTTCCCGGCAGTGAGCACACGCCCTTGGAGGGGCTACAGACGCCCCGGATGAGCAGCGCCAGGGTTGGGCACGGGCCACCACAGTCCTCTGGGGATACTGTGCCCATTCCTAGAGGAAGGTTTTAGGGTGAGCTCAGACCCGCCCATCACAGCTCCGAACAGCATCATGGGAACTCCCCGCCAGAGGGCTCCTGAGTTCAAGAGCCTATTTGTGACTAGCGGCACAAATTACACTATGTGAATCCCCAGAATAAATCAGCCGTTGAACGCACAGAAGGTCCCAGGAGCAATCAGCAGCCATGCCAACAGGCTTAGGGAGGTCTCCCTGACATCACCTCGCACTCGCCACTTTCCTCCAGTCTGTGCAGAGTGGCCCTTCCCTTGCCAAGGCCACACCTAAGCATGCACCCTTGGGTCTTGCCTCTTCCCATCGTCACCAAACAAGATCCTCAATCATCTCCCTGCCTTCAAACATGCCCAGATTTCCCCCATTGTTAGGGAACCTCCCCCAGACCCAGCCACCCCTTCCCAAGCCCTCACCCCAGATCTCTCCTCCCTTCCTCAGCCCAGGGAAGTCTCCAACTTTGTGACCCATCCTCCATTGCGCTGCCGTCAAGGGGAGACCAGGCCACTCCGCAGCCCCTCTGTGAGCATCAGAAACAGCTCCAGACTGGCTCCAACCTTCCTTCCCAGAACCAGTGCTCATTACTCCATCCTGCAGAGTGCACACCGCACGATGCGGCCGAGATGGTCTGCGTGCCTCTCCCATCTCCACACCTTTGCCCGGGCTGTGGCCACTTCCCTTCTTGCCCCTGCCTCAGAGCCCACCATACTTTAAATGCAGCCCAAGCACCCCCTGCTCTGTGAAGCCACTACCTCTGCAGGTAACCTCAGAGGAGCTGGGTTCAGATCCCAGCTCTGCCTTTCACTATGCTGGGCCTCCATTTCCTTCTCTGTGAAATGACGGGTAGACGGAGCGGCCCCTGAACTCAGCGCCCCAATCTTCGGCCCCTCCTCTCCAGGGCCTCAAATCCTTCCCTTCCTGCAAGGCTGAGCTCAGGTGCCCCTCCCCCACCCCCAACACAGTGCTAGGCACACAGAAGGCATGTCACAAAAAAGGGAGCTGTGAGGACTGAAGGGCCCTCCAGCCCCTGCCCCACTCCCTCCTGTGCTGGCAATTAGCCAGAAGCCCCACCCTTGCCCCTAGGGATGGTCAAGGACTTGGGCCCTGTCTGGGCCTCCCTCTCAAACAGCTCAAGAGCAGGGAAGGAGAAAGCTCTGGGGTAATTCCCACACATTCCAGGCCACTGGGACCCCGGAGCTAAATGGCCCTCTGTCTGCCCTGAATGGGCCCTTTGATGGCTGGCCTGTCTTCCTGGAAAACAAAGTGGCTCTATCCCAGGACACAAGGGGCACTCTCCTGCCCAGCTCCCTGGACAACCCTACCCAGGGCCTTGTCTAACCCTCAAATCAAGGGGAGGGAAAAGGGAACCCAGTCTGAGGTCCCTTCCAGGTCAGGCCTCATCCTCTTTGAAGGTCAGAGTTTCCTCAAGGAAAAACTGGGATGGAGGAAGCCCGGCAGCCCAGTGGCAGCTCCCTGACTCAGAATCTTATCATTGTCATGATTATCAAGGTCTCATGGATGCTGGGCACCTGGGG